ACCTCATTCTCCCATTGTTATTTCTGATTCTCCCTCTCCAATCAACCATCCAGAAGATCACCTTCGTACAGTAATAGACTTAAAAGCGTTGGACAATCTTGCCTCTAGCTCTCAAAAAATTGTCATCCCAAAACCAAAACTAAAACCAAAAATCACCAAGGCAGATGTTGGTAAAAATTTGCTGATTTTTGAAACAGAGATAATTGAATAGGTTAACTCTCTGAAGCTAACCAGCTTAGAGAATCGAAATCTTGCTGCTTCTGATTCACACTGGAACCATTTCAGAAAATGGTTCAATTCAGAATCTTAGAAACTTAAGGAGTTGAGTTATGAAATTGCTCAACAAAACTTCTGTGATCAGCTGAATGTTTTCAAGGATCAAGTTTTATGCCGTTGGGAAAAGAAACCTCTTCTTCTGCTGGACAATGCCCCTTGGCAAGATCACCAGCCTTCAGAAGTTGATGAACCTTACTCTGATACTCTGCCTCTAGTTACAATTCAAGACAAAGGCAAGGAAATTGAAGAAGCTACTGAGTCAAAATCTTCCGCAAATTGCTCTGAAAAGGTGGCACCTTCTGTTGATATACCTTCTTCATCTCTGGTTCTGCAAACTCTGGAGGATTTGAAGAAAGAAAATGAAATGTTCAAGGAGAGACTAGACAAGCAAGATGACACATGCAAGGAAATCAAAGGGATGCTGGGAAAACAAGAAGAGTCAAACACTCAGATTAAGAATTTGTTAGAAGCCCTAGTCACACGACTTCCTCCACCTCAATCATAGTTTTGAAAATTGTTTTTTTTACTGTGTCCAATTTTTTTTTTCTTCTGAATGTGTTATTGCAATCCTTTTTAATACAACTCATCTTTTATTGCTTAAAAGTGTTTATATTTATTTTTGATTCTTGACAAAAAGGGGGAGAACGTAAGATATTTCTAATAACAGTATCGAGACATAGTCTAAAATATTTTGAATATCATAACTTCTCGTTTTTTTTCTGAAAGCAAAATAGGAACAAAACTCTGATGAAGACAGAAGTTGATGCATCAAAAACTCTGACCAGAAGAAACTTCAAGAAAGTATTTCTTCTCTATCTGGGTATTCTACTCAGGGGGGGATCTTAAAATGCTTTATGTTCTTTCTGTTTCTATTGAAATATCCTAGTTTTTGTTATCATCAAAAAGAGGGAGTTTGTTAGAACATAGTTTGATTCTACAACCCTTGTAAGAGTTTTGAGGATAACAAACACAAAGAACAATTATGCTCCCTAAATTTATATTTTGTTTTGCAGAGAAGTTCTGATGGAAGAAGATCAAAAGATGAGTTAAAAAGTTGTTTCAACTCTGATTATAAACATCTCTTAAAGAATTTCTAATGCTGCAAACAGGACTCGGTGTTTCGGATCCACAAAGCTCTGGAAAGAAGCAACAGATACTTTCATCTTCTGAAGTAAGCATGTTTTGAAGCGTTACAAATCAATTATTATCATTTCAAAAGTAACGGCTGGAAGGGAACAAGGATCTTTATTTTTGGAAAGCTCTTTCATTGTCATTGATTAACATTCCAAAAGCTCCTACATGCTTCGCCTATTTAAACAAAATTTGAAGGATAAATCGTTTATGATTTTTCACGCACAGTAACACAGCTATCTCTATCATCCTCAAACGTTCAAACATTCAAACTATGTAAAACATCACTTGTCTTGTGATACTGCTTTATTAAAAAACATTCTTGTACACTTTTGTTATATATTGTTTAGTGAAATTCCTTGAGAAAAACCGGCTTGTGGTTTATACTCAAGAAGACTTTGACGGTTGTCATAGTAGATTTGTAATCAAGATTGATTAGTGGATTAAGACCTCGTTGAGAGAGGAGAAATCACCTTGGCGGGGGACTGGAATAGTTTGAATTCAAACGAACCAGGATAACTAACGTGTCCTTTTCTTTAAGTTCTAAAAATCCCAATTCAAACCCCTCTTTTCTTGTGTTTTTCCATTCTTCAACAACAACAATATTGCAACACAATTTAACATTAATGACATGGTATCTCATCAAAACTCATTATTCAAATTGAAACCAAATTTCAAACCTTGATTAAGAACGACATGTTCATCATAATATCCTCAAAGTTTTCAACTCAATTTCAAAGTTTCATTCGTAAACAATAATGACCATCACAATTTCACCATCACTTTGACATAAACAAAAATGGTATCTAAGATAAATCAATTTTTATATTAGAAACTCATAAACTTATGCCAACAATAATCATGCTATAAACAAATATCATCATCTCATCATTTAAATAAATATCAATATTATCAACTTCAACACTAAAACACTAACAATGTCATCAATATCAACTTTAACAAATTGATTATTACAACTACAACAACAATGTCAATTAATCTCTTACTTAATTATCACATACCACAAACTTAACTAATTCACTTATTTAACATAGGAAAACTAACAAAACATGAAAATGGTGATGAGAAGTTTACCGAAACGTGTCGAAGTTTTCACAGAGGGATTGGTGAAGTTGCTCGTGTGAGATGAAAATGAAGGATTGCAGTGTTGTTGCTGTTATCGCGGGTGGTGAGAAGGTACATACATTGGGAATAGATGGGTTACGGTTGTTTCACGGTACAGAGGGTGGGTCACGGTGGGAGATGAAGGATGGTGATGGATTACGGTTGTTTTACGGAGAAAAGTGAAGGATTTCGCAGAGAAAAGTGAAGGGATGAAGAGAGTTCCATTTACGAAAAGAGGTGGAGACTTGTGAGAGGAAGAGTTACGAATATAATTTTAGGGTTTGTTTTAGTATTTAGAATTTAATGACATAAAGCAGCGCTTTCTAAAGCGTTTTATTATGTATTACCTTTAGCAACGCTTTTTATGCAAAAGCACTGCCTACTCTATGACCTATGACAACACTTTTATGAAGCACTTTCTAAAATGTGGTATCTAGCAGTGCTTTTTAAAAGCGCTCTCGTATGTATAGTCTTTAGTAGCGTTTTTCAAAAGCTCTTTCTTAAGTTGGCCTAAGCAGTATTTTTTCTCAATTTAGTATAGTTTTTTTATTTTTGAACTTATAGCAGCGTTTTAGTATAAAAGCGTTGTCTATGAAGTGCTGCCTAAAACCAGTTTTAGCGTAGGGTTTAAAACTCCCGCAGTCTAACTCTTTTTCTTTTGTATTGACTTTAACTGACGTGGTGTGACACGTGACATGCCACGTAAGCCTCCGTTAATAGAATCTAACAGGAGGAACAAAAAATAGGAACAGAAAATATTGCAAAGACCATTGTTTGAAAAAAATTTATAAGGATTAAAATTGAAAGTTGACATATTTATATGGACTCCTGACATATATATATATATATATATATATATATATATATATATATATATATATATATATATATATATATATATATATATATATATATATATATATATATATATATATATATATATATATATATATATATATATATATATATATATATATATATATATATATATATATATATATATATATATATATATATATATATATATATATATATATATATATATATATATATATATATATATATATATATATCCTCTGTTTTTCTCTATGTACCCAACACAAGTTTTGTTTTAGTACAACACAGATTGTGGTTTTTAAGTAATACTTTTTTTAATTAATTATAAATTTTAAATACCATGATTCAATTCTATTTTATAAATTTTTCTCTATGTCTCATAATTCATGAGTTTTTCTCTATGTCTTTATTATAATTTTTTTATTAATTTGAATTATTTGTTCAACAAATATACAACAAATTTTCTATAAATCATAAGTACGAGTGAGTGCACATTGGATTTTTGAAAATCCGATCAAAACACATACTAGAGTTATTAATTAACCTAAAGTCTGTTAAAAAATTTCTATCCAATTTATGTTATAGCTAGCTTATTTTTAAGATTTACGGAAATTGAAATCAATTTTTTTTCCAAAAACCTATAAAGTTTTAGAAAGATATATTATATCATAGGTGAAATTGAAATTTTAAAAAGTGGTAGGGATGTGAGGTGCATCTTATGAGATATTAGGTTAAATCCTCTAAGTAAAATTGCCATCATGGCTCATATTAGCGAACAAACCAGCACGTATATTTCTTTCATAGTATGTGAGCTGCAAAGTCTGGTTACATAAAGGTAAGTTGTATACAATGAATGTGCAATTTTTGCAAAGCAGATTAAAAAATGGCAAGAAAAAGTTATTTGGTTGCTATAAATTAAATATGTGTTTGTGTGTCCATTTTTTTCATCAATGTATTTAATGTGCTGAGACTGATTCCATTATTCTGCTCTTGGTGCTTGCACCAATAACTATATTATACTTTATCTTCTAATGGAAAACACCAATAAGATATGAGGTAATGTGAATACGTCATAATCTCAAACATTATTTAGAGTTGGGCTACATAAAAACTTGTAGAAACTTGGATCAACAAGTTCAAATCAACAATATTATCATGACCAGAAGGAAAATTTTAGCATCACTATATATCTTGTAGTCTTTTTTTAATAGTGACATCATTAAGCAATTATTTTTTTTTAGATTGAATTGTGAGTGGTGAATTTTTTATCAATTATAAATAATTTAAATTTTAGATATATGAGATAGATAATTGATATATTCAATATTTTACAATTTTAAAAGAAATTCAAATAGATAATAAAAATATGATGTCTAAAAGAGTTATGTACATAATCTTTATCCATTCATTCCTAAACATCAACGAGTTATTGTTTTATAAGCATGCATCGATCCTTAATATTAAATGTCCAATGTCACAAAAACAAATATTTTGATTTTTTGATGAAGTGCCTTATTTATATCAAATCATTAAATTTAACTTTTTCTATGGCCACCTAGAGAGTTAGTTTTGTGTATAAATATCCATGCATCCCTATGCATGTCACTTACTCAAAACATATATAGCTAATTATGGCTCTAAATCTTGTTAAACTTTCAACCTCTTTCCTTTTACTCCTCTTAGGAAATCCATTTCCCATTTTTGAGTCAAGAACCATAAAACCCTCCAAAGATCCATTCTTCAAAACTCTCCAAAGCCTCGAAGGTGTTCAAAAAGGACAAACCCTAAAAGGCATTGGAGAACTCAAAAACTACCTTAAAAAATTTGGCTTCCTAAATGTTCAACATGATGCTATTACTAATCCTTCCATAATTCCAAACAACCACTTTGATGAAAACTTGGAATTTGCCCTAAAACAATTTCAAACATATCATAACCTAAATGCAACTGGTCTTGTAGACACAACAACCATAAAAATCATGAGCCTTCCACGTTGTGGTATCCCTGATTTGCATAGTCATAGTTACAAACATAACCGATTAGCGATGGTTTCAAATTACACCTTCTTCCCAGGTTCACCAAAATGGAATGACTCAAGAAGGGACTTGAAATACATATATAAATCAAGTGTTGATGCGTTGACTATGGACGATGTGAGAAGTGCGTGTGAGAATGCGTTTTTAAGTTGGTCGGAAGTTTCTGATTTCACATTCACAGAAGTTGGAGTTGTTAGTATGGCCGATATAGTAATCGGATTTCACCGTGGTGATCACGGTGATAATAATTCATTTGACGGACCTGAAGGTGTTGTCGCTCATGGCTTTGCTCCAGATGATGGAAGACTTCATTTTGATGGTGATGAACATTGGACCAACAGTCCCACAACTCTTCAAGATGATTTTGGTAAGTAAGACAAAATAGGGCAATAAAATTTTGACTTAATTGAAGTTTTGGTCCGGTTTTTTTACTACACATTGTAGATTTTCATGTGGTAGTGTATAAAGTAACTACAACAAAAATTATTTCAGGTATTGATGTTGGATTATTGAGGAGGCCTAATTCTATTAAACGACCAATGGCAATGGGGAAAGAAATTGATTTAGAAACAGTGGCTTTGCATGAAATGGGTCACCTTTTAGGCCTTGGACATAGTAGTGACCCAGATGCTGCTATGTTTGCCTATTATTCAGGTGTTAGGAGAAAATTGCATCAAAATGACGTGGATGGAATATTGGCTCTTTATGTGTTCCATAAATAACTAGAAACTAAAACAATAATTAATCTACTTCTTGTAAAAAAATTATCTGAGTTATAAGAAATAATCTTTTTTTTAAAAGAGCATTGATGTATATTTCCTATATTATTCACTAAGGAGATCCCCGCATCGATTAGATGATTCATGCAATGATATAATTTAAGTCTTTAGGGGTGAGTCAAGAGCCACACGCTTGACTTTTTACTTTATCGAATCTCATTAGTGTAGGTAAGACTTTTTATATCGGGCAAAAAGTATATTGGGTAAAAAATATATTTTATATTGGGTATGGATCTGATGTAAATTCAAACGATATAGTAAATCAAAGACATTTTACATCGGGCAACAGTTCGATGTGAAAAATCCACCTACCACATCGGTTGGATGTTAGGTCTGATGTGAAACATAATACAAATTTTTTATAAAAAAAAAAATGCAATATTTTACATTGGTTGCCTAACTGACACGGTGTAATATACGGTTTTAACATCGGTTGCCTCAACGATCCGATGTAATATATATGTTTTGACATTTGTTGCCTCAATGATCCGATGTAATATTTTTTTTTAGCGGAATCGAAGTGGATTCTCTGTAATTTTTTTGGTACCTGATTTTTCATATTTTTCCAACATCACACAGACCACATTTAGGTCACTATTTTTCATATTTTTACCACATCACCCAGACCACATTTAGGTCGTTATTTTCATATTTTCTAATCAGTGAAGGATAAATTCATTGCACCAAATAGTTAGGATGCACATATATATTCTTCAAAATGAACAATTGATTTATAAAAGTACTAATCTAGGATACACACAAGCATACAAAATTATAAGGAAGTTTACAACAACAAAACCAAAGAAATTATTCAAAAATACCCAACAATTTATAAGTCCTTTCCTGCACTTGAAATACTAACATGCAATCTACAAGAAGATGAGTTGTAGCTTCAGTAGACAACACCAAAATCACATTTGCTGACAATAAATAATAACACCAATTAACATCAGCATACAATACCAAAATCAAGAAACTCAAATCAGAAATATATAGACAATTCTATATAACTCACTAGATAAATCTTTTTTGAAGCTAAAGGAAAAAAGGAAACAAAGTTTTTGACCTTGTATAATTTACGACCGAAAAGTTATCTCAGCATAATAAAATAAACCAAAAATTTTAACACAACAACTCATTAAAATAAATAGAATATTTAACACAAAAACTTTATCAAAAATTGGTTACAGTAGTGTAGCAGAAGTTAAACACAAGCAAAGTCACTATTGTCCTGTGGAGAAACCATTTTGGATTATAACTATCTATTGAAGATAAACTACCCGTTTGACACAGAAAAAGTTTGACAGATAAAACGTGTAATAATAATAATAAGAAAATTTGTCAATGCCAAATGAAAATACCGATATAACCTCGTACCTTTAAGGGCATTGTCATTTCAACAACATTATTATTAGCATCCTTATAATTATGCACCAGATTTGCAAGCTCTTGAAGAGTACAAATAGAAGTTTGGTAAAATACCATGAAGGAAATTAAACATCAAATAATTTTTTGTGAAAATATAGAGAAGAGCAACAGAAGGCCTTGGATGGGATAAATGACTCTTCTCATTTTCTTTTGTTTTCATCACTTTTTTGTTCCTGCTTCTCTTGTCTCCCTTGCCATTTCTTCTTGTTGCTCAAAAAGTATTCCCAAGTTTCTAATTCTATATCAACCTGAAATATCACGTAAATTACAAAAAATATTTGATAGAAGAGGGAAATGATTATATGGCTTCTTATGTTTGGTGCTAACATTCTTTTGCCTTACATTTTTCCACAATTCATCATTAGGGTCATGTGAAAGAAATCATAAGTTAGGGAATTATTTCACATCATGTTTGCAAGCAACAACCAAATAAACCTCTACTACAAATCACAAGAAAAGATAAACTCTTGGTTCACAATAGAGGTTCACAAAGTAAATTTACTGCACAAGTCAACTCAGTAAAAGAAAAGAAGCATCACAGTTATAACTTGCGTATAATAACACAGTTTTACGGCCAAGGTAATAAAGAACTAATAGAGTAAAGCACAAGTACATCAATTCGATTTCAGCCCAACAAAAGAAAAGTATACAATATCGCAATTACACAAGTTCGGCCCAATGACAATTACTGTTGTAAAACATTCAGTTCACCAAGATCACAAACAATAACATATCAAGAAAATTACAAAAGCCCAATACAAGAATCAAAGGCCTGATACCAAAAATCACCTTATCCATCAACACATGAAACCCTAAATATCAGTATATAAGCATTCATTGTGGATTGTGCAAAATCAGAGACTATTGTTCACCCAAAGCCACAGCGGCAAACAAAGAACAAAAAATCCCTAAACTACATCATCATCTTCCTAATACACTAACCCTTCAAAAATGGAAGAAAAGTAGAAGAAGCAAGACAAAGGTTTCGTATCACAGAGTTCAGAGCAATGTAACATCCAGAAAGTTAGAAAGAACTCACCAAGAAAACATTACTCCTTTTCTCTGGAATTCTTACTTCTATTGAACCTTCTTCATCACTATCACAGTTAATCACCATCATCATCATCGATTCTGCTTTGAGCACAACGACACATCAGAACCGAAGAACTTTGAATCAGCGAACTGAGAGAGGAGCGGAGATCATATCACAAGATCGTGACAGAGGCGAAATTCATGGCTGTAGAGTGGACGAAGATAAAGCTTCGAGTCTATGATGGAAGTTGCTGAATCGAAGTCGCGACGATAAGAAGAGGGTCTCGTTCGGTGGAGAATCGAAGAAGAAGGCAGAAGCATGGATCTACGGCCTTTTGAGAAAGAAGAAGAAGAATCATTTTGGACCATAATAACCCTAATCCCTTTCTAATTTTCTGATTTAATTAATTGATTTTCTGCAGCCACGTTTCTTACATCGGTTGGGCCTATGGCCCGATGTAACGACCATTTTTTATTTTTTTTACATTGGTTGGGAAATTTCCCCGACGTAACGGCCTTTTATAACAAATGATTTTATTTACAAAACTGCCACCATATTTTTATTTTTTTTATCCATGGACTTTTCACATCGGGAATAAATCTAGGCCCGATGTGAAATCTTTTATAACAAAATTTCTTTTTATTTACCAAACTGCCACCGTGTTATATTTTCCCCTAAATCAAATATTTTTCATATCATTGGAAATAAAGGTCTGATGTAAAATCTTTTGACAAATATTTTTAACATCGTATATTTCTATACCTGATGTAAAGACTTTTTCTCAAATATCATATTTTTAGTAGTGTCTCCTTTGCACTAGTTCGAGCGCTTTCTTTTTGGTTCTAGCGCCCCTTGTTTAGATGTGCCGCATGAGTCTCCAAGTCTTACATCCATGATGCGTGTGATACGGTGGAAGAACCGACTGTTTATACTGGTTTTGCGTTTGTGTTCGAAAATTTTGAGGTAAGTAAGAGTCTCCATCGACTTTTCTTTTATCCAACAAAGGAAAGAGTGAAAAGAACAGAAAAAGACCTTTCAAGATTATTTCTTAGTAAGGGGGTAGAATATGGAAAGGGAAGGTGTTAGCACCCCTTCCATCCGTAGTTATCTACGGGCTTTTAGATGCTTAGCTCATTTTTTAAATACCTTGTGTTTTGTGTGTTTTTGAAAATTATTTTGAAATACCTTAGTGCGACGATTTGCTATATGATAACTCTAGTATCAATCCTCAAGAGTGTTGATAAAGTGTTTTTTGAAAAGGGTTTTGAAAGTTGTTTTGTGTAAGTGTAAAAATTTGTTTTTTTAGCATAGCATCTAGGAACTATCTACTTTACTCGAAAGGGTCGTTCTTTTCCTCCTTTCCTCTAGACAATGCTATCCTACTATTAGTGAGTAGGTCGCCTTAGTCATTTGGATGTATGAGGGACATTCGAAGGGACGTTTTATAGTCACAAAGGCAACTGAGCAAGAAACCTTAGTAACTACCCTAGGGTTTTAAGATCATTGTTTACCGAGGCGACATAAAGAGGATCATCGAGGGACTTATGATATTTTTAAATCGGAGGGTAGCCACTAACATCTCTCACGTTTCGATAGTTGTGACTATTTTTCCGAAGGCAACCAAAGTGGGAGTACCCTAAAGGTGCGCATGTGCAAGTGTGTTGTATTCAGTTATTTTTGTCTTTTGCATTAGGTTTGCTAGCGTTTTATTTTATGTTCTTGTCGTACAATCTTATTAGTCAAGCATCTAGACAGTTAATAATTTGCAGAAATTTAAAATGTGGAATTTAAAGCTACGCTATTACATGGCTCCGGGAAGGGGGATTAATTACATAGTACAAAACTTGGGGGAGAAATAAAAGGTAGAAAATAAAGTCCTAATTTTAACTATTACAACTCATAGTCAGATACAATAATGATAAGAACAACAAATGCTAAAATAATAAATGTGAACGAATTGAAAGGAATTCTAGATCCTAAAAATGAAATCTTTTTGTTATTTTGTTTTGTTTCAAGAAGAAAATTGAATTCAAATAAATCCTAATTTTATTAATTTTAAAATTAAGAAAATGGTTTAAATAAATATTAGTTAATTCACAGAATTAGTTTAATTAACAAAAAAATACTAACCTAATGTTTTTTTTGTGATTTTTATTTATTTTTACTGATTAAACAAATTAAAATTAAATTAAAAGAAGTAAATAGTAAAGATAAAACAAAAATATAAATGGGCCTAATAGCAAAAGAAATAGAGGGGGTACGAAGTGAAATTCGCTGGGCCCAAGTGAGAGAAGCCCATATCTGCCCTTAGATTCAGTGGGGAGATCCCCAGGAGAGTCCATGGTGAGGCTATGTGCTTAGGACGTTGGATCCAGATCAGATGTGAATCAGATGGTCTGGACTGGATGGTGTATGGTAAGCGTGTGTATCTAGGAAGTATTGAATCTGCATAAAATATTAGAAAAAATAAAATTGCAAGGCC